AAACGAAGTCCATGTACAAATGTAAACAAAAAGACATGCTTGAGGAGGAAGTTGAAATTCAATAGAAAAAGTTAGAACTCGAAATAGTCCGGCCTCAAAATTGCAGCAGAAAACGTTTAGAGTGTTGATCCCCTGACACTCAATTCGCCATAGATATTTGGTCCTGCCAAGTCAAGCAGGGCTTTGAGTGAAGTTTTTCATATAATGGCTGAAATTTTTCGGCTATTATAGCTCAAATGATGTCGAAAGCTGCCTGAAAAATGACTAAAATAGAGGGTTCTGAAGTCAGTTCACACAGATATTCCAAATTCTATCTAGATCTTCAAGTGCTTCAGGTACCGAAGTAGGGAGCTAGCAATTTTTTGTAAAATCGTCGATCTACACCTGGTGGGTCAGATAAGCCAGCACCTTGGTGTAAAACACATTCACAGAACAACTAATGAATTTACGCTATCTTGCAGGCTTGCAATCAGGGCTGTTTAATTGTAGCGCCAGATCTGACATTGGAAATTAATCAACATCATTGTGGACAACAACGCAGGTGCTGATAGTAAGGCTTCGTGGGAGATGGTCTTTGAAATCACTATGTTCATATTCGATATATTCATAAATATTTCCAAATATTTCCAAACCTTTAGGACCATAACAATGGCAGTTTTAGGTTGACTATCACGGCGCTATTTGCGAAATCAGTCGGATGTCGTGTCCATGTTGCTGTGAGATTAGTTGTTATCCTCAGAGGTTTAAGTTTTACGCTGAAGAAAATGAATATCCGTGATCTGCTGATATTGTAAGACGGACCGACTAAAAAAGTGCCCGGGTCGTTGCTTTTATGGAAGAACACATCCATGTTTCTTCTGAATAACCGCTACGAACGAAGATGAGCCGCTATCCCGGTGGTATTCAAGCAGCCGAACCGGTCACTCCATTCAATTTCTTTGTCTTAGGAGCTCCAATCTTTGTCTTGTGTTTTCTTGTGGGACAATGCTGTTGATTAAACAGATTGATGTGATTATATGACAGCCACCCATAATGTTCTGCTTTCAACATTGGGGGAGATGAACAACAACACAAACTAAAAACCCCGAATCTTTTATTCAAGTTGAAGCAGTTTCTCACGGCCACCTTGCGGAACACAAACGACCTGGTTCATTAGTCATAGACATTTTGACCTAGTTGTTTCGTTGTAACTAGACTCTGTCTTCGCTCCAGTGCCATCGCTAGTGTCGGACAAAGAAATGAAAATAACAGCGGTATAGTGAAAAAGCAAGTGCGAAATTTATAAGGGGCTTAGCGGTATTTAAAAGATCACTTTCATATTGACCTGGGCTGTCCGATTGGCGTAGGTTAAACACCCGCCATCGTCGGTCGTGCTCCTGTGGCATGC